AGAACACAAAGCTCCACAACTCACGTAGCTTTCCAGTTAGGCTCAGACGAAAACAGTTCTCAGAAATCCTTCTCACTGCTTTTGGGAAAGCTTTCCTTTTAACGAATGTTTGTTGTTGTGTTTTTTTTTTTAAGTCTCTTAAGTTAGGTATGGATATTAAAATTTTTATGAAAATCAACACTTTATCTATTAACCCTTAAAAGTGAATTTTCAGCCCTCATTTTAGAGACATTTACATATTTTATTTGTTACATCTGTACGCCACGTTTGAAATTTCAGTGTGCATTTACATCCCCTGCTTCCATTAGACAGATGTTGAAATTGGGAAAACCATTGAACAGTTAGAATGCAAGTCACCGGTCAAATACTATACATATAAGCATGAAATTATCATATAATCGGAATTTTTGACAGAACGGCAGAGAAATCAGACAAGTTTTCATCAAAATCTTCTAGACGTCCTCCAAAATTCAATTCGTTAAATAAAAGTTATCAGCTTAATTTACTGGTGTAATAATCTTCGCCTTGTGCGTTGAAGACCTTAGAACCACCCTTCACGGCTTAAAAAAGGGTTCGCAGGGCCTCTTGTCACCTGGTAGCTTTAAATTCACTGATTGTTCTCATGAATTATCGAATGCACTATAGAGTAAAAGCAAGTGGCGTCAAACGTAACAGTTCTAATACCGTGAACGGTCGCACATTTGCACATGTACGTATTGCGTACCTATATTTTCTATGTTTATTTCCATCACAGATGAAATCTTATACTTACAAGGTAACGTGTAACACCTTTTCCGCGAAAGCTGTCACGACATAAGTAGCTGCATCTTTGTCCTAGGACTGACAGTCTGTGCTATCAGCGTGAGGAAAGAGAGCGGTAAGAAGGAAAATTTATAATTCATTTCCTCAAGAAAGAATATATAAGTTCCTCTTACTTCGATAGAGGTTTACAGACGTGGACGATTTCACTTTACTCAAAGGTAATGTCATTTTTCGGTTGCTGTAATTATTTTGGCCACATCTCTGAATGAGCCATACCATTTCTAAGTAATTTCCATCGACCAGTGATATAAGAATTGTACATTTTCATGTATTGCCAAGTGTCATAATTTTTGAAACCTTTTCGGAAAGTCGACCGACCTTTGGGCTGCACACTTATAAATACTAATCGTTTCCACCATAATTTAGGTTTCGTGGTTTAACAGCCTTTTCAGGCGCCAAATTCTAAGGCTTTTCGATCATGGACCAACTGAGCGACAGATAATTTGGTTTTTTAGCTGAGATTAAATGTGAATTGGTCACCGTAAAGATTTTCTAAAGCTAACGTTTCGAGCGTTAGCTCTTCTTCAGGGCGAATGTAAACACAGTTTCTGAAGCTAACTTTAAGAGCGTAGACCCTTCGTCAAAGTGACAAACAACCTACGTATTGGCCTTAAAAGCCTTTTCAGGCGCCAAATTTTCAGACTTTTCGATCATGGACCAATTGAGCGACAGATAATTTGGTTTTTTAGCTGAGACAAACAACCTACGTATTGGCAGCTAAGTCATATGCTAAGTACAAACGTAACACATATCCTACATTTGCTGTATACATCTTTTACATCGAAAGCTATTGTCTCATGTGGATAAAATGAGGAGGA